TTTCCTCTAGAGAATGCAATAAAAGCCAAAGTGTTAGTAAAGGGAATAAGTGGGGAGCACACCTGGATGCACAATATTACCTAGATACGATGTGAATGTTAAGAGATTCAGTACTGATAAAATATCACCTTTATTTGCTGACCTCAGACAAACAAGCTCAGGGGAGGAAACAGAGATTTGACATATGTTGGAAATATAATTTATTCGAACCTAGCCAAGGTCAGACAGAAGCCATTGCAAGTGATACTCCGTCTGATCTGATAGAATAGAACCAGGTCACAATAGTCTCATCCAGCAGGACAACAGTGGAGAAGGATGAAGGATAATTTACATTGCCATAGTCAAAGGACAATTTTGTAACTGTGATAGAGCTATTTTAGTATGAAAAAACAGCAAAAACTGATAACAAGATACAAACAGGAGTAACAGGAAACCGGTACGGATTTGAAAAATGACAATATATTCAATGACTTTGGAAGGGAAGGGAAATTAGTGATGGGTGGTAGCTTACAAGGAAACTGGAGTTAAGGATAGGATTTTTGACAACACAGGCTGATTTAAAGAGGATAGGGACAATAGCTGAAGAGAGGGAGTTGTTAACAATATCAGCTAATACGGAGACGGGGTTAGGTAGGGGTGGTGGGGAAGTAAGCATCAACAGTTTCCTTGGCGTGGTGTCAAAACAAGTGATAAGACCAAGAGAAGCTCAGAGATACAACGAGGAGAGGTAGAAATGAAACTAGAGAAAGACAGGAATCCAGGGCCACGACAGTTGGGCCTTTAGAGGACATTTGGTCAGATGGGAGGGATGTGGCACTGGCAGCCTTTTGGTGACAAAAGTTTCTGAATGACAAAGCAGCCCATGGGCTCCTCACACACACTGTTGAAAATGAGGGTTGATGGGAGCGGAGTTTAAGCAGGCACTTTTCAGTACAGAAAATGAACTCTGCAAACTAAGATGCTGCTATAAAGATGAGCAGATTTAGCAGATAAAAGCCAATAGTGCTTTATGTGATGCAGCCAGATACAGCAATGGATGGCTAAACCATATTTTCAAGTTTGTCTTCCTTGGAGTTAAGTGACAGAAATGAGACGCATACTGGAGAAAAAAGTACAGCAAGGAAAAGTAATGGTTTAATTGGGGTGAACGTGTAATTAAGTAAATAAGTAGATGTAGAAATCTTGTGGTAAATAGAGAGCTAAAGTCTTGATAGATGGTGTTTCTTGTTTCTGTTAAGCAGTTTGAAAGTGCATTTGGTTAGAAGGTAGAAGATAGCTACTTCTCATGCAATCTTCACTGACAAGCTCATCTTCAATCATCCAAATAATCAGTAATAATGAAACTTCTAAATTTCAAATCAAACCTGCATGTGTACACATGCCCAATATAACTGTATACTAGGTTTCTTGTGTTGCAGCTGTCAAAATCTATTCATGAGTTAATGCAGCAAGCTATGGTTCATTTTGCATTATCCACCCATCACTGACACCTGTACTTTTCACACAAATACCATCTAAAAATGATACAACATGGAATATAAATTTAACTAACTTGTGAACTATGACATTCTACACAAATTTTCATAACTGAAACATCATATTCTACATATCATACTGAAGTCTGGAGGTACTCGCAGACTTTGCAGATCTGTATACTACACAAATACTGCTGATCCAGTATGGTTTTCACATTGCAAGGCAAGTACATAACAAGTCCAAAACTTCAACATGTACACCAACCAGTGGTATGACTGCAAAATTAATTTGTTTATTAATAAAGTTTATCTTGTCCATTGGACCCAACTTAAATTTCCAAATCATGCAACATTAACCAACAATGGAATCATACTGCACTGGGGGAATTAAACTTTTCAGAAAGTATCTAATGGGGATATTCCAAGCAGATACAGAGGAATGAACCTGCTTTCGCTCTTTGCTCATTCTGGAAATGGGAAGGAATCTGCCTCTTGTCAACAATCGGACAGACAAAAAGGGACTCTTCCTGGGGCGGGGTCAGTCACTGTTGAGACCAGAAAAGCTAGCTGTTCGCTCCATCAGGCCTTCTGGAATCCCCTACTCCTAGATCTGCGCAGTACCCAGCTCTACAATCATCTGAGCTTGCCAGAATCACACACCACTCTGGCTCAGGCCTGTCTGGAGCCTCTACCCATGACCTGGAGTCAGCTTGCCCAGTCCCCCAACTCTCAAGGCTTGCCGCATCAAACCCCTCTCATACTCAGACATGAGACACAACTCCTGCCAGACAAACATAGGCCCAACTCAAGGGCAGAGGGTGGTCCAGAGTGTTGCATTCACAAGATATCACCAGATATCCTAACCCTAAACACCCACCTGGTGAAGCCAGACAATCTTGGAGGAGGAGGATAATAGCCAGTTGTGCTGCTCCCTTGAGTCCATGCCAGCTCTGGACTACATATGCACAGCAGAATACTGCAAATCTATATACATCAAAGGTGCTCAGGCAGTGGTAATGGGAGACTTTGAACAGTCTCCTCACTTCCTACCAAGAGGAATCCAAGACAAAGGGCATCCCAGGAAGCCACAGCCTGTGATGAGGATTTTATTCAATGAGGTAAGGTTGGACAGGCTGGGTTTGTAGCCAGAGTTTAAAATGAGAATTTATCTTATTGAAACATTGGAGATTCTGCAGCAGCGCTTGATATGGTGCATACTGAGGAGATGTTTTCTCTTTTTTTAATTCATTTGTGGGACATGAGTGTCACTGGCTGGGCCAGCATTTATTGCCTGTCCCTAGTTGCCCTTGAGAAGGTGGTGGTGAGTGGCCTTCTTGAACGGCTGCAGTCCACCTGCTGTGGGTTGACCCACAATGCTATTAGGGAAGGAATTCCAGGATTTTTACCCAGGAACAGTGATATATTTCCAAGTCAAGATAATGAGTGGCTTGGAGGGGAACTTGAAGGCAATGGTGTTCTCATATATCTGCTGCTCTTGTCCTTCTAGATGGAAGTGGTCGTGGGTTTGGAAGCTGCTGTCTGGGTGAATTTCTGCAGTGCATCTTGTAGATAGTACACACTGCTGCTACTAACGGTTGGTGGTGGAGGGAGTGGATTCTTGTGGATGTGGTGCCAATCAGGCGGGTTGCTTGACAGGGAAGCTAGAACTAGGGGCACAGTTTAAGAATTTTGAGATAGAGATTAGAAGGTTCTTAGTCTTTGGAATTCTCTTCCTATGAAAGTAACAGAGGCTGTGTCATCTTATCTATTCGAAGTAGAGTTAGACAGATTCAAGGGCTTTGGAGGGCAGCTGAGAAAGGATGGTGGATCAACAATGATCTTATTGAATGGATGACTGTTTCTGCTAAAAGATACACTTGCCATAGAGGGAGTGGAGCAAAGATTGACCAGATTGATTCCTGGGATGGCAGGTTTGACATATGAAGAGGTTGGATCGACTGAGCTTCTTATTCACTGGAGTTTTGGTTTTTTTGTGAGGGGGGCTGCTCATTGAAATATTTAAAATTTTGACAGGGCCAGACAGCCTGGAATGTAGGAATGATACTACCCTTGTCTAGGTATCCAGAACATGGGTTCACGGTCTCAGGATACAAGACAGAGAAATATTTTCTACTCAGAGTTGTGGTGAACTTGTGGAATTGTCTACTGCAAATGGCTGTGGAGGCCAATTCACCGATTTTTTCAAAATAAGAAAACAGATATTTTGAAGCTAAAGGTGTCAAGGGGTATGGGGAGACAGACAGAGTAGGGCATGGAAAACCAGCCATGATCATATTGAATGGCAGAGCAGGCTTGATGGGCCACATGGGTGATTCCTGCTCTTACCTATGTTTCTATGCTGCCAAGGTCGGCAGTCAGTTTTTAATAGGACGAAAAGAGGCCCGTCAGCCCATCAAGTCCATGTTGGTCATCAAACATCCAACTATTTTAATCTCATTTTCCAGCAATTGACCCGTAGCCCTCTAAACGTCCTGCTCCTCACCTTAAATTGTGCCCCTGGATAACTAACCCATTTGCTAAGGGAAAGTGTTTTTCTCTATTTGTGCCTATGCCAATCAGAATCCCTTCAGCCTTCTCTGCTCTAAGAAAACAATGCCAGCCTGTCTAGTTTCTCTTCATAGCTGAATCGCCCCAGCTCAGGCAACACCCTGGTGAACCTCTTCTGCACTCTATCTAATGCAAATACATCCTTCTTTCAGTGTGATGACCACAACTGTACAAAGTTCTCCAGCTGTAGCTCATATACAGTTCCATCATAACCTCCTTGCTCTTATATTCAATGCCTTCACTAATAAAGACAAGTACCCATATGCCTTCTTAACCACCTTATTAACATGTCCTACAGCCTTCAACAAATCTATGGGCATGCACACCAACATCCCTCTGATCTTCTTTACTTCTTAAGACCCTACCATTCAACATGTAGTCCCAAAATGCATCACTTCACACGTTGCAGGATTAAATTCAATTTTCCACTGTTCAGCCCAATCTAAACTGTCCTCTGATCTAAGGCTTTTCACCTCACTATTTAACATACCATCAACTTTCACGTCACCAGTGAACTTACTGATCATATCTCCTATAAGCATGTCTGAATCATTAATGTACACAACAGACAGCAAGAAAATCAGTACCAAACTGTATGGTACGCCACTGGACACAGGCTTCCAGTCATAAGACCAGCCTTCGACCATTGCCCTCTGCTTCCTGCCACTAAGCCAAATTTTGGATCCAATCTGCCAAATTGCCTTGAATCCTCAAGCGGTCTGCCATGAGACCTTGTCAGAAGTCTTACTGAGGACCATACAGACTACATCAACTGCTCTAACCTCACCTACATACCTAGGCATCTCCTTGAATAATTCAATCAAATTTGTTAGACGTGATTGTCCCCTTACAAAACAACGCTGATGATTAACCTTTCTCTCTTCAAATGGAGATAAATTCTGTCTTCAGTATTCGCCCAAGCAATCCAAGTTTCCCTAACACACATACTGTACTCACTGGTCTGTAGTTTCCAGGTTTACCCCTATCACCATTCTTGAATAATGACACATTAGCTGCCTTACAGTCCTCTGGCACGCTTCCTGTGGCCAAAAAAGATTTGAAAGTTAATGTCAGAGGCACTACAATCTCCTCCCTTGCCTCCCACAGCAGCCTTGGATACATCTCACTGAGCCTGGGGATTATTCACTTTCAAGCCTGCTAAAACTGCTATTTCATTCCCCCCTCTCAAGGCTAATTTGTTGAGGTATATTACAGTCCAGCCTCTCCGATTTCTAGACCTACATCATCCTTCTGTAATGTGAATTCAGGTGCAAAATACTCATTTAAAACCATAGCTACATCTTGTGGGTCCTTATACAGACTGCCACTTTAGTCCCTAATGGGCCTTACTCTTTCACTGGTTATTCTCTTACTCATAATATACTTAAAAAAAAAAACACTTTTGGACGTTCTTTCATGTTACCCATGTTTTTCCCATCCCCTTGTGGCCCTCCTAATCTATTTTTAAACAACCCCTTGCACTTTAGGGCATCCACTGTTTGCGCCTTCGGTACCTACCATTGGTTTCCTTTCTTTCCCCCGTGTCCAATCCAGTAAATCTCTTAATATCCAGGGTCCTCTACACTGTTGGTCCCACCTTTCATCTTTATGGATACATTGACTCTGCACTCTCACTATTACCCTTTTTAAATGTCTCCCAGTGCTCTGGTGTGGATTTTTCAGAAAGTAGCTGCTCCTGGTCCACTTTGGCCAGATCCTGTGTTATTAAAATTGGCCTTCCACCAATTGAGAACCTTTAAGTCTGGTCTCTGTCCTTAAACATAATAACTTAAATCTTACTGAATTATGGTCACTATTGCAGAAGTGTTGCCCTACTGCCACCTGCCCAGTTTTGCTTTCTAAAATATGATCCAGCACTACCCTCTCTCCTGTAGGTCTTTCTACATGCTAACTTAAAAAGCTCCACTGGAATCATTTCAAGAATTCTGCCTCCTTTCAGCTTTTCACACTTTGTCCATCCCAGTCAACATTGTGGAATTTGAAATCCCTTATTATTAATAACCTCTTTCTTTCACTTTTCAAAGATTTACCTACACATCTGTCTTCAACTCTCCCTGACAGGTTGGGGATCTATAGTACATCCCAAAGTGATTCCTCACTTTTTGTTTTTATTTCACTGCAAATGGCTTAATTTGGAAAATCTTCTAATTTTTAAAAATCTTTTTTCATTTAATCTATTTTTCCAAACCAACCTGTTCAGAGACATTATAACACACCTCTGGAGCAGGTAGGACTTAAATCCGGGCATCTTGGTCCAGGGTTATGGACACTACCACTGTGCCATGAGATCCCTTAAGGAATCTAAGATATCATTTCTCCCTCAAGCAGTAATTGACTCCTTGGTTAATACTTTAACATCACCTCCTCTTTTGTACCCCATCATCTCAAGGGAACATTCTATTCATTGACTACTGAGCTGCGAGATTTGTCCCTCCCTCAACTATGTCTCTGTGATAGCAATTATATCATATCTCCATGCAATAATCAACACTCAACTCATTTGCCTTACTTGCAAGATTCCTTGCATTAAAATAAATGGCATTCAGCCTTGCCATGCTCCTTTGTGCCTTAATTTGACTTGCATTATTTTCTAAATAGACTTGGTTCTTCCAAGTTCTTCTAAACTCATTCATGTTTCATCCTCTATGGTACCTCCATTCTGCATCCCATACCCCTAACAAATGAGTCGCTATTTTTGCCAGCTGCACCAACAAACCTGACCGTAAGAATGTTGGTCTCATTCCGATTCAGGTGCAACCTGGACTTGTACAGGTACTAGCTAACCCAGAAACAAACCCAGTGATCCAAGAATCTAATGCCCTCCATCCTACTCCAGCTCTTCAGTCATGCACACTAGCATGTGACACCAGAAGTCATTCAAAGATTACAACTGAATGCATTTTAATATGCTAAATGCTTGTTGCAGCACCTCATCCATTTTTCTACCCATGTCACTGGTCCCAACGTGAACCATGATCGCTAAGTTAAATGTTCCTAGGAGCTCATGTCCAGGATGCAGGATGGCAAGCATAATTTTGGGACAACGCTGGAAAATCTGGGATAATTGGTAATCCTGTCCACTCCATTGAACTAGGTTGTGCAGAACTAAGGGTAGGCTATTTGAACTAAGATGAGGAGAAATTTCTTCACCCACAGTGGCGAGTGCCTGTGGAATTCTCTGCCACACAAAGGAGTTGAATGTTTTCAAGAAGGCGTTAGATATAGTTCTTAGGGCTAAGAGTATCAAAAGGTATGGGAGAGAAGGTGGGAACAGGGTGCTGTGTTGGGTGATCAGCCATGACCATATTAAATGGTGAAACAGGCTCGAAGGGCCAAATAGTTTTCCATATAACCGTCGACGTTCCATACACCTCGACAGGGTTACATAACAAAAAAAAATCTGTTGATCTGGAAAGTTACAAAAGACCCTTAGCATCCACTATCCAGTTTATTTTTGTAAGATACAGACAGATTCCAACTACATTTAAGGGGGAAGGGGAATGCTTTCCAATTTAATTTAGTTTGGTTTAGTTTAGTTTTCAAATTATACGCTCCCCTCCCCCGTTATTGACTCTTCCCATTAACCAGCGTGCCGCCACCATACCACTCAAAACGGATACTGCTTCTCTGATAGCGATGGAGCCACAAGATCAACTCATTAACCAAAAGTCCGAATAAATAAAGTCTTACTTCCCAACGGCTCCCGCCGCCAAAGAGCACGGTAAGCACGCGCTACGAGTGTTCAGCGCGATCGGGAAGCGGTCGCTGCTGGGAATTGTAGTTCATCTCTCCGCCACACGAATTAAGACAACCAGTCAAAGGCACTACAACTCCCAAAACACATAGCGAGGGCAAGTTCCTACGCTGGCGCCGTCCGAGCATCCCTCAGAAATGGCAACCAGCTCCGTAACCGAACGGGCACGCGCGGATCGCTGCGATTTGCCGCCGCGTGGTCCCGCCCCCTCCTGGTGTTGACGGACATTGCTCTAGACCAATGAAGTCTCGAAATTATACGAGGGGGCGGAAAGCCGCTTCACCATTAGGAAGGCAGCAAAGGCGGGGCTGTCGAGTTGACAAGAGTGTAGCTGCTGGTGGGATTGAGTTTTCAGACACGGGTTATTAAGGGGTGGAAAGTTTGTCGCCTGTTTCAGCATTTAATGTTTTCTTTTGCAGGAGGGGAGCAATGTCGGACAACCCTGTTAACCTGGGTGAGGGTAATAAGGTATGTGAGGTGTGGTTTGGGCAACAGTCACTTGGCTGTTTCCTGTTGTTCATAAACAAATATCTTCAAGGCTTCTACTGGAATTTTGGGGATTTGATGTAATTTGCTCTTAGTCCCGAATGGTTAAAGTCTAAATGTGGTACAATTGTATGTCTTTGTGTATAGGCCGTGATAGTTTTAATGAAGAGTTACTGTTATTGCACTTCTACTTTTGTCTGTAGATCTGTTTCAATTAAAAAAAAACTGGCTGGTAACAATCTTTGTAGTTACGATATGTTTAAAAGTATTTTTTATTGATTTTTTTTGTTTGTTTTTAACAAACACCTATTTCAAATTCATGTTTGAATTTTTTTACCCCATTGCCCTGCAGCTTTACTTCTTGGCTTTACTTTCTGCCTGTTTGCCACATCCTTTTTTTTCCCCCCCATTCAAAATAGAACTGTTATCCTATGTTGCAACAGTGACTCGATTTTTTTGAAAAGCACTGTATGTGGTTGCAAAGGGCTTTTGGATGTGCTGAGTTTCTGAAAAAAAGACTTTTTTGTGTGTCATTACACAGTGTGGAGCTGGAGGAACACAGCAGGCCAGGCAGCATCAA